TCTTGAAGAAAAATTGGGATTTTTGTAAGAACATGCACTTTCCAGAACATGACAATTAATGAAGTTTTGGCACCAATGTGTACCTAGAACATTATTCACTTGTCACCAGAAATAAATTGCATAAAAAGTTCTCAAGTAGTTTAATTGAAAGTGAAGATCTGTACTATAACTGGCTTATTTACGAGATTTAACGTCTTTACATTTTTTATGACAAATATTGAAAGAGATCATATGAAATAGTTGTCAAATTATCAAAAGTGTTGCAAGGGGCCATATAAATAAAATGAGATAGAATCGGTAATTACAAGATTTTAACATTACTTTCTTATTTACTGATTGATGAAACCGAATGCTTAGCCCTTCAAGTGTGAAACGTGTTGGTAGACAAGCCTCTAGTGCGAAACTGAGAAACTTCTTTGTGTTAACATCCTCCAAGTCCTTAGCGTTAAGCAGCCCCAAACACAATGTGTCTTCTAACCACTAGATCCTCACACTGCATTTAATGTGAAGGGAAGTTTCATCTTCTTCATCGCATCTTAGACAGACGCCTTAATTGTTGCGTTAATCGCAAGCTCACCAGGTGCTTCCCCGTGAACCAGAGCCCTGTGATTAACTCTGCAAGTAGCTATGTCTGTGTTCTGTTTAGGCGAGGTACGTCCTTGTCCAGCTTCTAGGAAGACTTTCTAAGAAGAGCATTTGCGTAGAGCAGGGTGAGTGGTTTTCTAGTTCAGCCCCTTAACTTTTCTTGCACTGTGCATGTTAAAACATCTATAGGACAAATTGGGTGCGGACCTGACTTTGGTGATCCTATCCATGTTTGCACATTCGCCGCCTTATTTATTACCGCCAATTGTCATTGGTTAATCGTGTCAACAGGTCAATGCAGTCTCACGAGCTATCTCGGACCTTACTACAACTCTACGTAGAGCTCCTAGCACGACACGTCTGTCAGTGCAAATGCATTTGTCTAGTCTTTGTCCAAGATCATTTTGATGCAAACCTAAATGGTAAACACTTCCCCTTGAAAGACTGATACGTGGTGATTCAAGGCAAAAGAGATTTCCACCTTTGAATTGTCGCCCCATATTTCGGTACCGATATCGGTTCTAGAATTAGAGTCGTGTGCATAGCAGACGAACCTCTCCCAGAAATGATTTCAGCAATGCAATTAATCATCACACCACATACCTTCCACAAGAATAAATTTCATTTATTTTCATTTAGTCACTGACATAAAATATTTTCGTTATAATTGACTTTCAATGACTTTGAGTGACTTCATGTCATAGATTATTGAATTAACTTTAGAAAGTGCTATCAGAAAATTAAAAAAAAGTATACCATTCTATTTTGAAAACAAAGATGACCCACGATTTCTGAAGCCCCTCTACCTAGAACAAAAAGTTATTACTATGTGACAAGTTTTTACTATGTAAAAAGATATTAAAGGTGGCAAAAGTTACTGCCTCACTTTGTATTTCATATTACACACTTTGCTGCGTTAAAGTAAAATGTTCGTCTCTCATCGCTAATTGGCTTCCCATTGTCCAAACCTTTTTCTCCTTTTAATTGAAAGTATGTAGTAGTATCGTGTAATCGTTTCTTGAGCTTCTTTAAGTAACTTAAATTAATCATGCCTTCAAAAAATTTTTCACCAATTCCACCATAATGAATAACTCTAAAAAATAATTACATTGTACGTTGCATATGTAAAACATGAAGTACTGAATGTATCTTCTTCTATAAAACAAACCCCAATGTTGTTGGAACTCTAGCAAGAAATAAAGCAAAAAAGTTCTGCCACAAAAGAGGAAGGATAGGATGATCTATAGGAGTATCCAGTGCTTGTTGAGACCAACGGTATATAGATAATCCATTCGCTCCAAATGGTTGCATTTTCACAGTTATACAAGCCCGCTAAAAAAAGATATATTTAGTATATCAGATATACTCAATATAGTTCACATTATATATAATTTAAAAAAACATTAGATGTTAAGATATATAAAATATACCTTAATAGCAGTATCCAATGATATTTTAGGCTGTACTGATAATTCCTTTAAAATTTCACGCCATAAACCACTTTTAATTTCTCTATTGTACTGCTCAGTTAATAATATTTGATAAGCAACCCAAACTGATTGAGTCCATTTTCCTAAAAGACTAACTGAATTGGAAGTACCAGTAGCCCAATTTAAAAATGAACCAAATGATGTTATCACATTTCGATTAGGTGTATTCTAAAAATAATTAATTAAACTACATTCATCACGAATATAGTATTCTATGCACTTCACATTAATATAAATATAAATTCACATTAAATTAGTTTTATATTTAATGCTATGGCAATATACATCATTACAAATAAACATGTATTCTAAATAAAAAATCGCACCTCATTATTTTCCTCTAAGGTAAGCTAGTAAAATGAGCATACTTATTCAGTGAATCCAAGTTATTAAAATATTATCTCAGTTTAAATCAATATAAAATTTTAATTAGTTAGATA